CGGCGCTGCCGGGGCTGAAGCAGGCAGCAGGTCCCTGATTCCGGGGGCCACTGACCGCTGCAGGCCAACAGCCCCAAAGCGCGGGGCACCGCAAAGCTCGGCCGCTCTCGGGGCCAGCACCGCCGAGAGATGCTCGGAGGACGTCTCCGGGCGACGGATCGCAGCCGTACGCTTTGCTCCTGCGAACCAGGGGATTTGGCAGAGCCCTGCGCTTGGATGAATCCGAACGTGAGCCGGAGCCCAGGGGCATAAACGCCAGCACACAGAGACGGCCTGTTTCAGCGCTATCAAGCTCTGAGTGTTGGCCAAAAACATAATTTTGATTTCCTCCACAGAGCACCTATCAATAAAATAATTAACTACGAAATTAGTGCTTTAAAATATAGCAAAACAGTCAAGCAGCAATAACGTTTTATATTAAGATACTGCCAAACAAATTAAAAAAAAAATTTCACTTCACCTCCCCCATAATGATGCAAAATAAAAATAAATTCATTTTCCCATAACCCAATTTCAGCATATAGAGCTCTCCTATTACGCAACAGAGCTGGCCTTCCCCGCGTAGGTTTTGGCTTTGCTCTGGGCGTGCTGCTCCACCAGAGCGGCAGTAAATCTCTCTCCTTACGTTTGACTGCGTTAAGGACCCTGCTGTCCAGGGGCTTCCTGCTGGGATCGCTGGTGGAGGACCGGATTCCAGTTCCGCAGCTGTTGGCAAGCGTGTTCCTGCGGGAAAGGCAAAGGCAGATCCTTAGAGCGGGCACTCCGGGGGACGGCGCATCACGAGGGGACGCCGTCCTCTTCCCTGTAGGTTCTCACGGAGGGATCGCCACGTTACGTGATTTTAAGGCAAGGGACTGGAAAACCTGCTGCTCAGGTTCAAGCACCATTGAGAAGAAGCGCAGAAATCGGTGCGGCATGTAGAGAGCATGAAGCGCTCGTGACACATTATCTACTGACAAGGTTAAAACACCAGAAAACACACTGAATCCCTTGGGAGAGGACAAGAGGACGTACCGATCAAAGAAGGTGGCCAGCAGACGTCTCAGCAGGACCTTGTGTTTGACACCGGCACACAAGTGGCAATTCATCAGCTGCCCCCGGGTGATGTAAACACCAGAGCCTGGAAGGGTGGGAGAGGGAGAATCCCGGGTTAAAGCCTCGCCTCGCCGATGGCACCGCCGACAACCGGCCCCTCCTGCCCTGGGGGTCCTGGTGCTGCCGACACGGGAGGGAGCGTGCTCTGCGCCGGCTGCTACCAAAGCCCAACAAGGAGGACAGGAGTTTTGGGAAAGCCCAGCAGGGACTGTTATCACAGTCCCTTGGGGTCTTGGCAAGCCCCAGGTAACAATAATCCCTCATTTTATCTGTACAGAAATGAAATCTATGGAAATCAAATGAAAGGACTCCTTTTTTTTTTCTCCAAAGACAGACAGTGCAAGGCTTTATACCGTGATTTTATATGTACAGATCAGATTATTTATTCTTTCTGAAGCAAGAAAATCCCAATCCATTTGGCCTTTTCTTTTCTCAAGTGAAAGATCCTAGAACACAGAGCTAGAAACAAAAAAAAATCCTGTCTAGCACAGAAAAGACACTTGGCTACATCACAGACCCTTTTCCAAAAACCCCAGCCCATCACCTCCTGATGCTCCTGGTGAGCAGGGAATTTGCCTTCCAACGCGCAGCCATCGCTGGCTTTGGAATACTCTGCCTTTCAGGATGTTCTCCCGAAGAAAGAGGAGCCCCTGCCGAAGCGGCTTCACCCCCCGGGCTCCGGCAGGGCTTTACAGCACATTTCTTCTCCAACACTTCCACTGCGCGCGTCGCTCCCGCAGAGCACACCGCGCCGGCCTCCGCGTCGCCTTGCGGGGGGGGCTACTCTGGTTCTCACGTGTGCTGTTATACCAGAGGGTTCTGCTATTTGCTTTTAATTAAGAATAAATACCGGGTCGTATCTGGATCCAGAACACGCTCTGTTCTCAAGATATAAAAACATCTACTGGATCCCTCCCGGATTCCCAGGACAGACGATCGTCCCCGACCTTCCGGACGAAGGCCGAGCTGCAGGGCAGCCCACGGCGAAGGGCTGCACGGGGACAGGCGCCCAGCAGCCCCCTGAGCCCCACGCTCTCCCCGCACCTTCCCCGCCGCTGTGGTCCTGCCCCAGGAGCAGCGAGCATCGCTCCGCACCTCAGAGCCACCCGGCTTCTGGCCACGCTGCGCCCACAGCATCTGTCTGCCCGACGTGCGACGGCGAGGCTCGCTGGGGTTTGCAGAATTAATTATGGCATGAAAAATTGGAGACAAAAGGAGAATCCTCCAAACAGAGAGCGGAGGAAAACTTCTGCTGCAGGACCCTCCTGCACGCTCCGGGGTCAAACCCCGCCAGGTCTCACCGGGGTGGAGACAGCAATTTGCTTTCTTCAGCAGCGGCACTTTAAGAGGTGAGACATCAGAGGGAACGCCAGACGCTACCGAGGGTAACTTCGCTTTAATAAACAAAAAATAACCGAGGCAGCCGCTATCGGTTAGAGATATTAATCTATTTTTTTTCCAGATTGAAAAATGTAAATCAAGCAGAGCTGCCTTGAGCCAATTTGCAACTCTCACTGTGAAAATAACCTGCACCACTTGATGGTTTTAAGAAGTCTCACATAAAATGTAAATGGGTACAAAATGAATATTCCAGATACAAAATAAATACTTGTGGTTGTTCGCTGTGCCGCGGCGCGTGCGTGTTACTCCTGCCTCCATCAAAGACCCATCCTCCACCAGACGGAAACCTTTCTGGGCATCCCCTGAAATTCAGACTCCTTCTACAGACTGAAAATCAAAACATGCTGCTCGCCAAGAGATCAACGACCAGAAAGAAATGACAACCGATCGGGATCGACTGTGCTGCCACACGTCCTCTTCGTACCAAGGGTATTAACGCACCCCCCGGCCTGGGCAGCAGGTACGGGCTGTCGTGCGAAGATCGCTTCATCCGCACGTGGCTGCGTCCAAGGGCAAAAACCTCACGGCAGCAGGGGCTGAACGCTGAGAGCAGCACTGCAGCACAGCGGCGCTGGGGGGAACTTCTAAAAGCAGAATATAGCTATTTAAACTGGAATTTGATCTGGACAGCCCAGCCAAACATCCATCTTCCGAGCAGCGCATGGGGTACCCGGGCTGCAGGCTGGCATGGCCACCAGCTCCCAGCCACTGGATCTCACTCTTAATCCAGCTTTACCCACACCAGTAGTTTGAGGAGCTACTGGAGAGAGTCCAGCGGAGGGCTACGAGGATGATGAGGGGACTGGAGCATCTCTCCTACGAGGAGAGGCTGAGGGAGCTGGGCTTGTTCAGCCTGGAGAAGAGAAGGCTGAGAGGGGACCTTAGAAATGCCGATAAATATCTGCAGGGTGGGGGTCAGGAGGATGGGGCCAGACTCTTTCCAGTGGTGCCCAGAGACAGGACAAGGGGCAACGGGCACAAACTGAAGCAGAGGAAGCTCCAGCTGAACAGGAGGAAGAACTTCTTCCCTCTGAGGGTGACGGAGCCCTGGCCCAGGCTGCCCAGGGAGGCTGTGGAGTCTCCTTCTCTGGAGATATTCCAGCCCCGCCTGGACACGGTGCTGTGCAGCCTGCTCTGGGTGACCCTGCTTGGGCAGGGGGTGGGCTGGGTGACCCACAGAGGTCCCTTCCAACCCCGAACATTCTGTGATTCTGAGTATCATTAAAAGCTAAACGGCACCATCTTCCACCTCAAGTTGGCCACAAATCCTTTCTGAAGTAGTAAATTGTTGTGATATTGTAAATAACCCCAAAGCTGAAAATAAAGAGAGGAGAAAGGACCAAACCTGACTGCTTCTCTTCCTTCCAACTGCAGCATTTCACAGTTTAGTAACATCCTCAATTTTAAAAAAACTTTAATTGTTTTTTCAAAGCTTGTTCGGTGACACAAATTTTATCTCCCCTGGTTTGTAAATCTCCTAATGCAGTGGGGATTTCCAGGTGGTTTTTTTTTTGGATCTGTGCATCTAAATCACAACACAATTGCGATGCAGCCCGTACCAATCAGGAAGAACACAAGCAGGAGAATTCAGTTAAAATGCTAAATTAATTCAATTGAATAAATCCTGTTAATGACACATTTTTCTATCAGCAAATTAAAGGAAATCTACAACTTTTAAAAAGATGATTGGTGATGAATAATCCAGAAAGACACAGCAAGGGCACACAAGATGCACGACTCCAGCAACAGTGCAAGCAAGACGAAGAACACATTTCAAGAAGGAAAGTATCAGCAATCTCCAGGCATTATCACGCAAAGCAAAGTTACCCCCTCGTTACCTGCAACGAGCTCAAGTTTTTCTCCAGGATCTCCCTCCGAGTAGAGTTTTGGGTGGCAGCGGTATCCGATTTGACTGATAAGACTGGCTGGGAGAGCAACTAGATCCCGTCGTATGAGGACACAGGAGCGGTTCTCCAGTGGGATCTGCTCCGGCTTCTCTTGAGCAACTTAAAAATTCAAAGGAAAAACCAGTAAAGCAGCTTAGTATGCAGGCACAATGTTAACAGAAGGTCAAATTTTGACTTTTTCAGGTAGCGCTTGGAAATATTGCTCCCTCCAGAAGGACAACCACTCGCCAGGGCTACCGGCCGCAGGGCAGATGCCACCTGACAGCGTGGAAAGGTCCCCGGTCTCCCCCACCATCTAGCGCAGCAGTCTCGTATGGGTGTTCGGGTTCTGTGAGAGGGATTCTTGGAATCTAATTATGCGTTAACTTTTCCTATGTTAATCATTTATGAAAATGGGCAACTCTGCACAGCTGGCGTTGTTCTGGAAGTGCAGCAGACGGAGCTGGCTTCCCCAGACACCCCCAGAAGAACGGCAGGTTACTTCACCAGGGGTTTCTTTGCTGGAGTTTGATAAATACCTGCATCAGTACCATCACTACGTCTATTGATGTTTTTTTCCTGCTG